GCTGCTGCTTCAAGGGCAAGGTTGACCTTGGTCGCACTGGCTGCCTTCCAGTGGAGAGTGAGACTGATGGGAGGGGGAAAGGGGAGGAGCAGCGCAGTGACAAGAGTATTGGAAAGAGGAAATGGAAGGGGAAGGGCAACGCAGTATTGGTGCATTGAGAGACATTTGAGGCATTTCATGAGCATTCAATGAGGGTGGTGACTCATTGGAATTCAAAGCATGTCGATTGCAGGGGGAAAAGGTATGTTCATGAAGATTGCAGGGGGGAAACTTCAAGGCCCGTGCTAGAAACTCACTCGGAGGACAGCTGCGTTGAAGAGGCATAGTCAGCGAGCGATGACGCGTCACAAGTGGCACTAGTGCCCACTGTGGTCGTCCCCAGCGTTGCACTGACTGCTGCGGGATGCGCTCCCAGCGATGAATTCCCTACACCTGCTGCGGCAACCCTTGCAGTTGCAGTGTTGGACGACGTTGCTGCCGCTTCGGTTACAGTAGCTGCATCGCTTCCAGTGCTGATGCTGCTACCACTGGCACCAGTAGTAGCAGTAGTGCTGCTAGAAGCAGTGGAAATGGAGGCGCTAGCAATCCTGCTGTTCACCCGTGCTCTCCAACCGCTGCCAATAGTTGGCTTCACAGCTTGCACACGATGCGTGAGAAGCTCACGCCTGGGCTTTCCACTGGCAGCAAACGCACTGCCTTGGAGAATGGCAGCCATCACCACGAAAGCAAAAATCGCCCTAGTGCCCATGTTGCGGAATACTATAAGTGATAGGTATGTAAGGCGTACTCCTGCGAGAGTGCCAAATTTAGATGGTTGGAGTGAAATGAGGGTTTTGCGGAATGGCTGGTGTTGGTGAAGGTGGGGTAGGGAATGGTGAATGCTCTGTGCTGGTGCTGTGTTTGCCTGAAGTGGATTTGTAATTTCTTCAGGCTCAAAATTCTATCCACCGCATTTGCGTCACCCATGTCGCGCATGCCTAGTTCGCACGACGCGAGATTGGAAAACCAATCTCGAGAATGGTCGTTGTCGGTGAAGATCGACGGCTATTATTTCTGCAAGTGCCGAACGTAAACTGCGGCGAAGGGATGGATTTCGTGACGTGGTTGCAAAGACGAGTCAGCGTCCAGGCAAGACTGGCCAGAGCAGTATTTTGACTGGCTGCTTCGGCATGGTTTGTTGACGAGTCCATTCTCCGAAAGTCAACGTGCTGCGAGAGGCTTCGCGAACGGAGCAACGAAACCGCTAGGTGTAACATCGAAATTATCGGTACAGTTAAAGCGTGAATTCCAAATGATCCCACTCGTTCAGCAACATAGAGAGCCAAATTATAACGAAACTGCCTTGACAATTTCAGTCGCTGCCAGAGCAGCTTACAACGGGGATTCCATTTTTGTCCCTCGCAATTTCATTCGCTGCCGCTCACTATAATATGTCTATGTCTTTAGCCATGCTCTCAGGTGACGCACAAATCCTGATTCTGGCGACCAAGGCACGTCTGAAATGCGGATAGCCTGTCTGTCGTCTCGTCCTCTCGGCAATGCGCAATTTAGGAGTCGCTTTTCGCGCGAGCACCTTCCGCGCAAGCACCATGCGCTCTCCTCAGTTGCCTTCCGCAGCCGGCGGTAGTCAGCGCAATTCGGCTTCGGTAGCGGGAATGGCGACGATTAACGCGACGGCTAGTGTCGCAGGGCGGTCGCATGGCAGAAGTGTGCTTCAGCCTGGACGGTTTCCGACTCAACAAGAGCTTCTTCGCTTCCCAGATAAGTGAGTCATGTAAATTCGATACAATTGAACGTGCATCAAATTCGGAAGGTTTACATTGGTCATACGAAAATTCAGGTGCTAGAATACTCCCCTCCTCGGCCTGCAATGCTGACTCCGCCGCCCTCAGAGGAGCTTATCCCCTCCCTCCCCCCTGCACCCGCCACTCTCTTCCACCCCCTTCCCCCCTTTCCCCATTCCCCCCAGACTCATTGACGCACCGCCTCGCCCCTGCCCTCCCCCTCCTCCCTCCTCCCTCCCCCTCTCTTCCCCCCCCCCCCCCCCCCTTCCCCCCCCCCCCCCACCTCAGGCTCATCAGAGACATCGCTTTGGTAATCTTCTGCCCTCCCCTGTCCCCTTCCCCATCAACCCCCACAGCCCCCTTCAGCCCCCCGCCCCCTGCCCCCCCCCCTCTCCCCCCTCAGGCTCATCAGAGACATCGCTTTTGTTGCCTTCTGCCCGCCGCTGCTGCTCTCGTCCAACCAGGTACGCCTTGAAACAAAAACTCACCTGCTGTGGACTAAGGCCTCTCTACCCGATTCCCCTTCTGCCCACCCCCCTCTCTCTCACACACCTCACCCCCCCTCGATTCATCTTCCTCCCTTTTCTCTCTCCCCTTCTCTTTCTCCCTTGCTCTCCGCAGCTACCAACAGTGGACCCACACGCATTCGCCCAGACCTCTTCCCTCCTGATGCCTAACAGCCCGGATCACTCCAGTCCAAGCAATTATCCGCACCATGAGGCATGTGACAATAGCGAGAGGGAGGGCCAACAGGCGCTCTTGGCCTGGCTGGAGTCCCTGGATGGAGGACACGTGGCAGCATGGTTCAGGCAGAAGAAACAGAGCGCCCGATTGGGCGACCACTATGCTCTTTGCATTCTCTTCGCCCTCACGTTCGGCCCGAGCCTCAAGCCTCGGGGCCTCCGAACCTCTGTCCAAGTTCACGTTTCAGAGGTTCGGGGGAAGCCCACCCGGCTTATCTTCCCCGAACCAGATCAAACCCTCCCCGAAGCAGACACATCAGCTGACGGCGGCCTATCCGAACCTGACCCCCCCAACCCAACATGCCAGACTCCTCCACCTTGTTGAAGCAGAGTCCAGACCAGCCGAACTTACCGAGCCTAGAGGGCTTCAGCGTGCCGAGCCTGGAGCTGGCTCCGGCTCGGCCAGAGCTAGACTTTCCGGAGCTGAGGCAGATGGGCAGACGGGCTCGGAAGCGATTCCTGCGCGAGTCGAGGGAGAGGAAGGGGCGGATTCAGACCATGGGGGAGTTTGATGTGCTCTTCACCCTGCCGCCTCCCTCCCTCCCTCCTCACTCACCCTCTCCTCCTCCTCCCTCTCTTCCTCACTTGCTCTCTCCTCCTCCCCTTTCTCCTCCTGATTCCAAGTCGCCTGGTTTATGTTGCAAGAGAGTTTTAGAGGGTGGTGCAACTGCTGCTGCTGATGATTGTGGTGGAGATACAGCTGCTGTTGCAGCTGTTGATTCTGCTCCTCCTGCTGCTGCTGCTGCTGCCGCTGCTAATCCCGCCATTGGAACTTGAGGATGCAGCCGCAGCAGCCTCAGCTGTGCTCCACCACTGGGAGCTTTCCGTGAAGTTTCTCCTCTTCGTGGGCTCGTGGGACGATGCACTTGCCATCTTCTCCCGCCGGTTCCATCCCACTCAGAGCAGCAGCAGCAGCAGCAGCAGCAGCACCACCACCACCACCACCACCATCACCACCACCATCACCACCACCACCACCAGTAGCAGCAGCACCACTATCAGTGGTAGCAGCAGCAGCAGCAGCAGCAGCAGCAGCGGCAGTGAAGCAGCACCTGACTGGCTGCTGGGGCAGTACCTGGGCCCCCACGTGGGGGAGTCCCTCCGCGACCGGAAGGAGCGGCTTAGCCGACAACTGCTGCTGGGCAAACACGGTTATGGGGCTCAGCTTATAACGAGGATGTATGGAGTTGAGGTACTGGGGGGGCGGCAATGGAAAATGAAGGGAGTAGGGAGAGTTGTGGGGTGGATGGGATTACAGAGAGCTGTGGAGGGAAAGAGATATTATCCTCGTTACAAGCAGCAGCGCTGTTACAAGGGTACTTGTTCTATGAGTACCCCCTGTGGCTGAAACTGAGAGAGATGAGGAGGGCTGGAGAGAGAGAGGCGCCAAATTTGGGACCCGTTGCTACCAGGGGCGATTCTGAGATAGGGGGTAGAGCAGTAGCAGCATCAGCAGCAGCAGGAAGAAACAGCAGCAGCAGCAGGAGACACAGCAGCAGCAGCAGCAGGCACAGGAGCACCAGCATCAGGAGCAGCATTTTATGGAGAATGTGCCGTGTTCCCCTGGCACTGGTACGGGTGGTGGACGCATGATGCTGCAGCCATGGTGCAGCTGCCCAAGCATGCCCACTCCCCGCTGGTACATCATGCCCAAAGACGAATGGCTCTCGCCTGTGCTGGTCCCAGATGAGACACCCCCCTGTCTATTGCCTCCAGATACCACCTCCCCTGGAACCCACCTAGATGCTGCCTGTGCAAGTGCTGACCTGGACGCTACCTTCCCCGAAGCCCACCAAGAAGCAACCTGCTCTGGTGCTGATGACCTAGGTGCCTGCTTCCAGTCTTGCCCGGATGGAATTGCAACGCCATTGACAGGAAACCTTTTGCTTCAAGTTATTTTACAAGTGCTCCGAAGAGGCTCGGTTGAGGAATCTTCCCAGGAAGCTCCGTTTCTTGGTTGCTGAGCTGGAGTGGGACTCACGGTATCAGTTTCAGGAGGAGACGAATGGTGAAATGCGTGATAGCGATGGAAGTGAGGGGCTTGAGCATTGTGATAGGAAGGGAGCTTGGGTTGAGGCTAGCAGGGGATTTATTGTTGAGAAGGGTTGGCCTGATAGTCGAAACCATCCTCCACATGGATTCGTTTGGAGAGAAGAATGTAACATTCCCTTTTGGTGAGTTGTGTGTGTTTCACTCATACTTTGTGCAATTTCCACAATCCATAACTAGCCCCAGTTCCATTCCCCTTACGCAGAAGTGGAGACTTTTCAAGCGCAATTTAGCTGTGTCCAATCGGAAAAAAGATCCTCCTGAGTTCGGTCAAGCCACGTGTCAGATGCCGAACCAGCTTTGCCCAACCAGAAATGTGGCTATGGTTTTCCGAACCAGGCGAATCCTTAAGGACGGCGCCGCGAATACACGCGCGGCCCAAGTAGGGTGGCTGCGGGGGCTTGCTTGCACCACGCGAAAGGGGCCTGGCTGATGTGGGATTTCGCGAGCCCTTGTACGCCCCATTTTGGTTGGCTGTTGAGTTCTCGCAGAAACAATTCTTGTATTGCGACATTCGCCAGGTATGGCCTCCGCATCAGATTCCACCTTGCGACATCGACAACCAGACCAGCCCTCACGTCACGGCATATGTCTGGGTCCCACGCTCCGCCCTCCGCCCCCATGCGCCCCTTCCCACCAATCAGCACTTTACGCGGCTCCGCGCGGTGCCCTTTTTTCTCTGTTGCCAACAACCTTGTGTGCTCACAAGTGCGGGGCGGCGGAATCTCCTCCCCCTCTTCGCTTCGCATCCCCCTCAAACCCCCACTTCCCCCCTCCCAATCCCGCGCCTCGCCGCCACCTGTTCCCTCTCCATTTTGTAGCGGTGTTTTTCCCTCCATTTCCCCCGATTCCCCCCCGCTCCCTCCTCCTCTTCTTCCCCCATTCCCCCCCGCCTGCAGTTTGTAATGTGCCCGTGCTACCCCGTTGCCCCGCGCAAGTACGTTGCACCTTGAGGGCTGGGCAAGGAAAAGAAATCCAGGAGTTCAAGAATCCTGAGATTCATCATTTGGCGATTGTGGCATTTGGAGTTCGCGGGAAATCCATTCCTGCTGGGCTTCTTTACTGAACGCACTCAGCGTTCTCCTCCAGCACCCCAAGCAGCGTACGGAGGTGTGAACTCCGCCAACCGACAGCCACCGCCAACTCCGCCTCCGCCGGAGGTCCATCTCTTCCCTCATTCGTCGCCTCCGCCAGCCGACATCCTCTCCTCATGGCCGCAACCTCGGCCACCGCCGCGCGCGCGCGCCGCGCAAACCTCCGCGCAGTCAGCGCCGCCCTCCCGCTGGTGCTCTCTCTGCTGCTCCTCCACTCCCCCCGCTCCGCTTGCGCGAAGGGCACTCCGCCTCCGCCTCCGCCTTCGCTCTCGTCGCTCTTCCCGTTCTTCAGCTTCGGGTCCATCACCGGGCGGAAGCCTCCATTTCGCCAGCCCGCCACCTCCGCGTTCCCGCAGCCCTCCGCCACCCCCTCTCCGCCGCCGCCCTCTCCCCCGCCGCCTTCCACGCCCCGCCCTCTCCGCCTCCCCCGTCTCCACAGCAGAACCCCGCCAAGTGCAACCCATCGTCGCTCGCTGCCAGTGGGTTCACCTCTTCGAAGGTCCTCGCGCCGGGGTATGTTACGAGAGGTCTTTATTCGCGCCACGGATCTCCATCCTCAACATTATCGGCGAGCGCGTCGGGCTACGACTGGCCAATGTTCCGTTCAGCCTCTCTTGTTGCCGTGCCCGTTCTTTGAGCCTCCGTGCGTCCCTCGTAAACCTTCGGTTCACTCTCCCCGCCCTGTTCCCATCCCCCTCCTCTCTCCCCATCCCCTTCTCCTCTTCCCCGCCCCCCTCCTCCCCCCTCCCCTCTCCCTTCTGCCTCTCCCCACCCGCGCCTCCCTTTCCTCCGCTCTCCTCCCCGCTCCCTACCTACGCAGGTTCACGTACCATTGGCGCGCCTCGTCAGGCTCGGTGGTTCAGATGGCTCTCGAAGCCGACTCGGCCCGAGCCAAGAGCTGGTTCGGCGTCGGGTGGACCGACGGCGGAAACGGCGGCAAAACCGACGCGGTTTTCGCGAACGTCGCGAACGGCGGCGTGAAGTCCTTCACGACGTCGACCGTCATCACGCCGCAAAAGCATGGCGACCCCGCGCCGGTCACTATCATGTCGGAAACGAACACGCTCAACATCGGCAGCGCCGGCTCCGTCGGGTTCGGCGACAGCACGATCGCATTGTGAGTGCTGCAATGGCTTTTGAAGCGGCTCAAAAATCGATTATTTGATGCGCCCAGATTTTATATATATGTTAAACTTATAAATATTTGGCAGCGTATGTTGTTGTAAGTACGTTGCGACTTTTGTAACGCAGGCGGACGTCGCTCGCGGTTTTCGCTAACTGTCTACGGTACCTCCCGTGGCATTCGCTGGTCATTCCGACTAGTGGCCCAACGCCTGAACGGCGTCCGAACGCCTGAACGGCGTCCGAACGTCTGAGCGGCGTCCGAACGTCTGAACGGCGTCCGAACGTCTGAACGGCGTCCGAACGTCTGAACGGCGTCCGAACGTCTGAACGGCGTCCGAACGTCTGAACGGCGTCCGAACGTCTGAACGGCGTCCGAACGTCTGAACGGCGTCCGAACGTCTGAACGGCGTCCGAACGTCTGGACGGCGTCCGAACGTCTGAACGGCGTCCGAACGTCTGAACGGCGTCCGAACGTCTGAACGGCGTCCGAACGTCTGAACGGCGTCCGAACGTCTGAACGGCGTCCGAACATCTGATTGCCGAACGTTGCGCCCCTGCGTTGCTTCTCTACACTCGTTTCCTCTGTCTCAGGTTTAGCCGAACCGAGGGGACAGGCTCGGTGACGTTCCAGTCGTCCGGACCTATGAACGTGGTTTGGTACTACCCGTCCTGGGAAGGCCAGCCGCTTGGAAGCAACCCCAAGCCCGTGTAAGGAATAGGGAAGGGGGGGAGGAGGAGGGGGGAGAGGGAAACGCGGGGAGGGGGGAAAGGGGGAAGGGGGAAGGTGGGGAGGTGGAAGGGAGGGGAAGAGGGATTGAGAGGGAACGGGGAGAAGGGGAAGGGAGAGGGAAGAAAATGCATGGAAGGGAAGAATCACCTTGGCTCTCGTCTCACCTCTCCTCTCCTCTCACCGCCCACGTTCCCCCCCTCCTCTTCCCCCTCTCCCCCTCTCTCTTCCCCATCCTCCCCTCACCCCAGCGCCTCTGCCCAGGTCGATTTCTCCTGCAACGGCCAAATGGCGGGCACCCCCATTGGCTTCGCACCCGCGCCTTCCCCTACCGAATCGCCCTCTCCGCCCCCTCCCCCCTCCGTCACGCCCTCTCCCCCGCCTCCCCCCTCGTCCACCACTCCCCCACCAAGGGCGTGCTGTGCCCCGCGTCAACCTTCTCGGGCTATGAGTACCAGCTGGAGCTGGGGAGTGGCAAGTAAGTGGGGAGTGTGTGTGGGAGGATAGGAGCGAGTGGGGAGTATGTGTGGGAGGATAGGAGCGAGTGGGGAGTGTGTGTGGGAGGATAGGAGCGAGTGGGGAGTGTGTGTGGGAGGATAGGAGCGAGTGGGGAGTGTGTGTGGGAGGATAGGAGCGAGTGGGGAGTGTGTGGGAGGATAGGAGGAGTGGGGGGGGGGGGGGGGGGGGGGGGGGGGGGGGGAGTGGGGTGGTGTGGGAGGATAGGAGCGAGTGGGGAGTGTGTGTGGGAGGATAGGAGCGAGTGGGGAGTGTGTGTGGGAGGATAGGAGCGAGTGGGGAGTGTGTGTGGGAGGATAGGAGCGAGTGGGGAGTGTGTGTGGGAGGATAGGAGCGAGTGGGGAGTGTGTGTGGGAGGATAGGAGCGAGTGGGGAGTGTGTGTGGGAGGATAGGAGCGAGTGGGGAGTGTGTGTGGGAGGATAGGAGCGAGTGGGGAGTGTGTGTGGTGTGGGAGGATAGGAGCGAGTGGGGAGTGTGTGTGGGAGGATAGGAGCGAGTGGGGAGTGTGTGTGGGAGGATAGGAGCGAGTGGGGAGTGTGTGTGGGAGGATAGGAGCGAGTGGGGAGTGTGTGTGGGAGGATAGGAGCGAGTGGGGAGTGTGTGTGGGAGGATAGGAGCGAGTGGGGAGTGTGTGTGGGAGGATAGGAGCGAGTGGGGAGTGTGTGTGGGAGGATAGGAGCGAGTGGGGAGTGTGTGTGGGAGGATAGGAGCGAGTGGGGAGTGTGTGTGGGAGGATAGGAGCGAGTGGGGAGTGTGTGGGAGGATAGGAGCGAGTGGGGAGTGTGTGTGGGAGGATAGGAGCGAGTGGGGAGTGTGTGTGGGAGGATAGGAGCGAGTGGGGAGTGTGTGTGGGAGGATAGGAGCGAGTGGGGAGTGTGTGTGGGAGGATAGGAGCGAGTGGGGAGTGTGTGTGGGAGGATAGGAGCGAGTGGGGAGTGTGTGTGGGAGGATAGGAGCGAGTGGGGAGTGTGTGTGGGAGGATAGGAGCGAGTGGGGAGTGTGGTGGGGGGGGGGGGGGGGGGGAGGATAGGAGCGAGTGGGGAGTGTGTGTGGGAGGATAGGAGCGAGTGGGGAGTGTGTGTGGGAGGATAGGAGCGAGTGGGGAGTGTGTGTGGGAGGATAGGAGCGAGTGGGGAGTGTGTGTGGGAGGATAGGAGCGAGTGGGGAGTGTGTGTGGGAGGATAGGAGCGAGTGGGGAGTGTGTGTGGGAGGATAGGAGCGAGTGGGGAGTGTGTGTGGGAGGATAGGAGCGAGTGGGGAGTGTGTGTGGGAGGATAGGAGCGAGTGGGGAGTGTGTGTGGGAGGATAGGAGCGAGTGGGGAGTGTGTGTGGGAGGATAGGAGCGAGTGGGGAGTGTGTGTGGGAGGATAGGAGCGAGTGGGGAGTGGTGTGTGGGAGGATAGGAGCGAGTGGGGAGTGTGTGTGGGAGGATAGGAGCGAGTGGGGAGTGTGTGTGGGAGGATAGGAGCGAGTGGGGAGTGGTGTGTGGGGAGGATAGGAGCGAGTGGGGAGTGTGTGTGGGAGGATAGGAGCGAGTGGGGAGTGTGTGTGGGAGGATAGGAGCGAGTGGGGAGTGTGTGTGGGAGGATAGGAGCGAGTGGGGAGTGTGTGTGGGAGGATAGGAGCGAGTGGGGAGTGTGTGTGGGAGGATAGGAGCGAGTGGGGAGTGTGTGTGGGAGGATAGGAGCGAGTGGGGAGTGTGTGTGGGAGGATAGGAGCGAGTGGGGAGTGTGTGTGGGAGGATAGGAGCGAGTGGGGAGTGTGTGTGGGAGGATAGGAGCGAGTGGGGAGTGTGTGTGGGAGGATAGGAGCGAGTGGGGAGTGTGTGTGGGAGGATAGGAGCGAGTGGGGAGTGTGTGTGGGAGGATAGGAGCGAGTGGGGAGTGTGTGTGGGGGAGGAGTGGGGGTGGTGGGGAGGATAGGAGCGAGTGGGGAGTGTGTGTGGGAGGATAGGAGCGAGTGGGGAGTGTGTGTGGGAGGATAGGAGCGAGTGGGGAGTGTGTGGGGGAGGATAGGAGCGAGTGGGGAGTGTGTGTGGGAGGATAGGAGCGAGAGGGGAGTGTGTGAGGGAGGATAGGAGCGAGAGGGGAGTGTGTGTGGGAGGATAGGAGCGAGTGGGGAGTGTGTGTGGGAGGATAGGAGCGAGTGGGGAGTGTGTGTGGGAGGATAGGAGCGAGAGGGGAGTGTGTGTGGGAGGATAGGAGCGAGTGGGGAGTGTGTGTGGGAGGATAGGAGCGAGTGGGGAGTGTGTGTGGGAGGATAGGAGCGAGTGGGGAGTGTGTGTGGGAGGATAGGAGCGAGTGGGGAGTGTGTGTGGGAGGATAGGAGCGAGTGGGGAGTGTGTGTGGGAGGATAGGAGCGAGTGGGGGTTTGAGAGAATGTGTGGGTGTGGGAGTGTGTGGGCTCGAGAATGTGTGTCAGTTCTCTGGCCCACGTCTACCTTTTCCGGCTTCTACTAGTATAAGCTTGAGCTGGGGAGTGGCAAGAACGAGGGGAGTGGCAAGTAAGTGCGGACGCGTGGCCGGCCACAACCCCCCCTGCCCCCTCCTCATTCTTCTCCCTCCCCCTCCCCTCCCCCTTGCTCCCTCCCCCTCCCCTCCCCCTTGCTCCCTCCCCCTCCCCACCCCCTTGCTGCCTCCACTTACCCACCCCCTTTTTTCCTCCCCCTTCCCACCCTCTTGCTCTCTCCCCCTTCCCACCCTCTTGCTCTCTCCCCCTCCCCACTCTCTCGCCCCCTCCTCCCCCTTCCCCCCCCCCAGCTACCTGCTGCACTGGAAGTTTCCATCCGCCACGGTCATCGACTTCCTCCTCGAGGCGCGCTCCAACACCCTCATCAAGGACTCGTGGCTGGCCGTCGGATGGTCCAAGAAGAAGGGCAAGATGAAGGGCGCAGATGCAGTCATCGGGAACCTCCCAGGGGTGGGGGCGTTTGTCCTGGGCGGCTATAAAGCCAAGGACATCCAGCAGACCAGCTCCTTCTCCCTGGGAACCACGGCTGTGTCCACCACGACCGAAGGCGGGACGTCCATCACCTTCAGCCGGACGGTTGGCACAGGGAACGTGCCTCTCAAGCTGAATACCACCAGCTATCTCATCTGGGCATTTCCGCAGACAATCACCAAGACGCTCGGTTTTCACGGCACGAACCAGTGAGTGCCCCTGGCACTTCTGCGCGTGTTGTTTCAGTCAAAGGTGCTTTTGAGTCGACTCCACAGCCCACGGTCGGCACGGGACAGGTGTGTTTCTTTTGACTTAGCATGCCACCAAGTCTCCTCCTCCTCGTGCCTCTGAAGCTGCAGCCAAGGTTCTGAAGATGGCTCCCTCCCTTCCTTCTCACACACACTCACTATGTCCCGCCTCCTCCCTGTCCCTCCACCCTTTCCACCCCCCACGGGGTGGCTGTGCGGTTGCCTTTGCGTGCCACCAAGTCTCCTCCTCGTGCCTCTGAAGCTGTAGCCCAGATTCTGAAAATGACTCCAACGCCGATTGCAGTTCCTCACAGGGGGCTGTCATCTCCCTCCCCTTCCTCTCTCCCTCTCCCTCTCTCTTCCCCTCATGCACACACTCACTCTGTCCCGCCTCCTCCCTGCCTCTCCCCCCTCTCCACTCCCTGCAGGGGCGGCTATGCGGTTGACTTTGCATGCTACCAAGTGCCTGCGTGCCTCTGGGCATGCGGTCCCGACTACGCCGACGACTCAGACGCCGACAAGTACTACAGTAGAAGCGTCACCGCTGCTGGGGCTGCTGACGCTGCTGGAATCACTGCCACCGCTCTTCCTGACCAGCCGCAAGGAGGGAGTGCTGCTGGTGCTGGAGCTGGTGTTGGTGACGGTGCCGGTGGTGTTACTGCTGGTAACCGCAGGTCAGGTGTGAGGTTTTATGATACGGTTAGTGTGGCCGGGATGACAAATGGAGAGTGGTGGCAGCAGCGGAGCCCTTGAGTCCGTGGCATTGGGATGGGTATAGCTCGAGGCATTCCTTGTGCCTTGATAACTGCCATTTAGTAGAGTTAGATGAGGGTGTAGATTATGGTACGGATTTCTTTGCTTCGTGCTATTGCTTGGTTGGTACATTCATTCCGAGCATATAAAGAACGCTGCTTGAACCAGACTGCATTCTAGATGCTGAGCAAAATGATGTCCGTATATGCAACTTACAATGGCCCACCGAATTCAGCTGCACCATTTGGAGACGTGAAGATGTTTCCTGCGTGTTGCATCATTATTCCATGACAAGAAGATGGCCCAAATTTCACAAGTTTCAAATATAGGTACAGTGTAGCTAACATGTTGGCAGCACAACTGTACACTACATCCTCCCAGACTTGGCCCCTGTTATGCGCCGCCGCCAGAACGAGTCGCTTGCGGCTCGCTCGAGTGCGACTCGCAAGGCGCCTAACCGCGCATCCGGCCCTCTATTATCGCCGCCAAACTTTGGCAGCCAATCGCAAACACTCAATCGGCCAGGTCTGGGTGCCTTTTTGGAACCAGACCTCGACCAGGTAGCCTTGACCCAAACTGCACACCCCTACGTTTGCAGCCAGACCAGGCTCGCGTTCCGCAAACCAACCACCCCTGGAAACCTGTAGCTTCCGCCGCACCTCCCTTCCCCTTTTTTTTTCCGCGTCGCGATTGGCAAGGCAGGCCCCCACTGTTCTCGAACCATGAATTCCAAATCCCCAGCTAGCAGTGAACGTACGGCACTCGGCTCGCCATGCTTTCTTACCTTCTTGACCCTCAGTTACACCTGTTCAACGCTAAAGAATAAGTTTTCTTTCACGCGGCCTGAGTCCGTTCCCCGAAAGTTTCAAACCACAGGCAAGTGGGACATTAAATATCATATGCGTCTAGTGCAAGAATACAAATAGCAAAAAAAATAAAATTAGCTGCAATTATTACTTAGGTGCAAAACCCATGTACGCAACCTGGCCAATGAAAAAAGTTGCATGCATCATGTAAAAAATGCAGCGCCATCAATATAAATCGTTTGATCCATGCTTATACAATGCAGATTGGTCGATGGCCTTTTGCGATCTCACTGCGTCAGAAACGCCAACCAATCTTGTTGTTGTGAGCCATTGATTTACGAAATGACTCGGAAGCCTCACGGTAGCTGATTGATACACGCCAACCATCAAGACGGAAATAATAAGAGTTTTTCCACACAATCCTCCTTGTCGATGTGTGCCATATTTTCGAGATGGTGATGTTTTTTAGCATTGTTTTACGATGCTCTTTGTTCTTTTAAACATAATGTAATTTCGCGCATGTTTACTCCCAAGTATTTATTTTGTCAAGGTTCCGAAGTATATATGTTTACCAGATCTTGCATCAAATTGGGTGTGGTGATGTAACTTAGCCCTGCGACGCCTTACGAAACGTGTGCGACCACGGGATTGGGCCTAGTCGCAGAAAACGACAGGGTTCCCGCCCCTGTGTAGTACGCTACGGACAGAGCTCCAACTTCTGCTAAGTGCATCTTTCTGGTTAGCGCAATATTTCCCTGGTCTCAGGGCACTATTTGCTAAGTGTCTCCTTCCAAGATTCTTGGAGTTTGCCTTCTAGAATATGGTTTGTACTCCTAGAGTATGATTTCGGCCTAAATTGAGGGTCAATGCGGCTCAGCTCGGTACTTGGTGGTTGATATTATAGAGTTTAACAGGTGTACCCTCACTCGTCTTGTTTCGTGTGCCCGTACCTTCGGATTCTCTTCTCCCCCTGCGAAGGGTTGAATAGAATGCTGCGGCTGCGTGTATTCCCAGGCATTCTGTGAAACACGGAAGCAGGGGGGGCCAGGCATTGACAGACAGCGAGCAACGAGGACAAGCTTTTAGCTCGTTGTCAGCTCGTTGTCCTGCAGTCTTCGCTGCCTCGAGATTGGAAGAGCTCTCTTCCGTGCCTATATCAGGAGGAGTCCTTCGCCGCAGCGACAAGCAACTCGCTCGAGCCTTGTCGATACCGAGCTGCGAGGGAGACAGAACCACCGGCGAGCGTCACAGAGTGGTCTCGCCTCGACGTGACTCGATTGGATTTGCCACAAGCGCGAAAAACTCTCGTCCTCTCTCTCACCATATTCTCACGCGCGTTCCATCAAACCATCGCGTCGCCATACCACCACCCAGCGCCGCCATCCCTCGAACCTTCTCTTTCCGTTTTAATACTCGAATCTGCCTCTTGAGTCGGCACAAAAACCACCACCCAGCGCCGCCATCCCTCGAACCTTCTCATTTCAACGCTCGATTCTGCAAGCCACTCCGTTCAACTGCCACGTTAGCGTCTCGATCGTGATTGGCCGGATTCTCTCGCCCGAGTCTCTTCGTCGCGCACCTCCAATCTTTCGCCATGGCCCGTCAGCACGTCACGCTTCGACTCGCGCCGCTGCTCGTTGCAGTCACACTATGCGCCGCCGTTGCCGCCGCCGCCGCCGCCGCACCCGCTCCGCCTCCTCCCGCCGTTTCATCGTTCTTCCCTTTCCAAATCTCCGTGGGGTCGATACAAGGCGGGAACCTATTCTTCGGCGGCACGCAGACTCTAAAGGCAGCAGCGCCGCCGCCGCCGCCGCCGCCGCCGGGGAAACGGTGGAATCGACGAGGAAACGACGGAGTCGCGGCGACGTGCAGCGCGTCGAGTCTGAGCGGATTCACGTCGTCTAAAACGCTGTCGTCCGGGTAAGCATGGGGTTTCATTTCAACTGGAATCGTTAGGGATTAATGGGGACTCACGCCGTCGAAAACGCTCCATTAATGGGGACTCGATGGGGATTAATGGGGACTCGATGGGGATTAATGGGGACTCGATGGGGATTAATGGGGACTCGATGGGGATTAATGGGGACTCGATGGGGATTAATGGGGACTCGATGGGGATTAATGGGGACTCGATGGGGATTAATGGGGACTCGATGGGGATTAATGGGGACTCGATGGGGATTAATGGGGACTCACGCCGTCGAAAACGCTCTCGTCGGGGTAAGCATGGGGTTTCAATCTTTAAGGCGCCCCAAGAATAGCGCGTCGAATCTGAGCGGATTCACGTCGTCGAAAACGCTATTGTCGGGGTAAGCATGGGGTTTCAAGTGGAATCGTTAGGGATTACATTGTCCCGCTTTCATTCCTTTGAGTCGACTCAAAAGTCATCTCGGATTACATTGTCCCGCTTTCATCTCGGATTACATTGTCCCGCTTTCATCTCGGATTACATTGTCCCGCTTTCATCTCGGATTACATTGTCCCGCTTTCATCTCGGATTACATTGTCCCGCTTTCATCTCGGATTACATTGTCCCGCTTTCATCTCGGATTACATTGTCCCGCTTTCATCTCGGATTACATTGTCCCGCTTTCATCTCGGATTACATTGTCCCGCTTTCATCTCGGATTACATTGTCCCGCTTTCATCTCGGATTACATTGTCCCGCTTTCATCTCGGATTACATTGTCCCGCTTTCATCTCGGATTACATTGTCCCGCTTTCATCTCGGATTACATTGTCCCGCTTTCATCTCGGATTACATTGTCCCGCTTTCATCTCGGATTACATTGTCCCGCTTTCATTCCCCACTGGAAGCTCGTCGCAATAGCGCTACAGCTCACATCTTCTCCTCCCCCCCCCTCTCCCCCTTCCTCTCCCCCGTTCCCCCTTCCGCCCTTCCCCTTCCGCCCTTCCGCCCTTCCGCCCGTCAACTTCCAGCCTGGTTCTCCACTGGAAGGCGGCAAGATCTACCTCTCCCTCCGACTGCATCACCGCCAACAGCATAACGGGCCCCTCCCACTCCCTCCCCTCCCCCCCCCCAACCCCCCACCCCCCCTCCTCTCTCCCCACCTCCTATCTCCCCGTTCCCCCCCTTTTCCCCCCTTCTTTCCCCCCTGGTGCTCCACTGGACGGCCACCACGGGCACCACGATCGAGATGGAACTGCTAGCTGTTGGCCCAGCCCGCTACCGACTGGGTTAAAAGGGCATGCTTTTTGTGGTGGGTAGCGCACCCATTACCCCCCAGGACGGACCTGTAGCCCTCCCACACTCAACTAGGACGATCCCAGTGCCCCACCAACACAAGCCTCGTCGGCCGCCTTGTCGGGCGGGTAGTTCTCCGTGGGGTGGTCGTCGGCGGGCAAGATGTATCCCTCGGACTGCATCATCGCTAATAGCGCGGTGCTGCTCTCTGTGGGGTGCTCCTCCCTCCCCCTCTTTCCCCCATCCCCAGCCTCGTGCTCCACTGGAAGGCCACCACGGGGACGACCGTCGAAATGGAGTTACAAGCCACGTCGGCCGCCGTGTCGGGCGGGTGGTTCTCCGTGGGGTGGTCGTCGGCGGGCAAGATGTATCCCTCGGACTGCATCATCGCCAACAGCGCGGGCGCCGCCATTGGCGCGTACAGCATGACTTCGTACTCCTCCTCGGACATCACCACCGCTTCGTACTCACTCGGCTCGCCCGCCTACTCCTCTGGCGCCGCCACGTAGGTTCCCTCTCTCCAGCTTCTCACAAACGGGTGGCACAGGCAATCTCATTCGTGGATGCCACTCTCCCTCACACCCTCACTCTGACTCACACTCGCACTCTCCCCCCCTCACAACAGCTTCTTCCTGGCTCTCACTTTCCCATCCTCCCATGCTCCCCTCCTCCCCTCCTCTTCTTTTTCCCCTCCTCCCCCTCCTCCCCCTCCCCCCCCTCCTCCCCCTCCTCCCCCTCCTCCCCCTCCTCTCCTGCTCCCCTCCTCTCCTCCTCCCCCCTCCTCTCCTCCCCTCCTCTCCTCCTCTCCTCTCCTCCTCCCTCTCCTCCCCTCCTCTCCTCCTTCCCCTCCTCTCCTCCTTCCCCTCCTCCCCTCCTTTCCTCCTCTCCTCCTCCCCCTCCTCCCCCTCCTCCCCCTCCTCCCCCTCCTCCCCTCCTCCCCTCCTCCCCTCCTCCCCTCCTCCCCTTCTCCCCTCCTCCCCTCCTCCCCTCCTCTCCCCTCCTCCCCTCCTCCCCTCCTCCCCTCCTCCCCCTCCTCCCCTCCCCCCCTCCTCCCCTCCTCCCCTCCTCCCCTCCTCCCCTCTCCTGTCCACTCCCCCTTCCCCTTCCCTCCCCCTCTCCAGCTTTTCCCGAGCGGTGGGCACGAGCAACGAGATCTCGTTTGTCAACGGCCCAATGAAGACCATCTGGGCCTACTCCGACGGGCTAGTCACCCTCTCTTGCACCCTGACCCTCACTCGCCGCGTCCTCTCACTCTCCTCCCTCTCTCACTGCAGGTTTTCCAGAACAGTGGGCACCGGCAACAAGATCTCGTTTGTCAACGGCCCCATGAAGACCATCTGGGCCTACTCCGACGGCCCTTCCACCACTCTCGACGGCCACGCCGGCCACCGCGGCAGCACCACCATCGACTACTCCTGCGACGGCACGGCCACCCCCTCCCCTCCTCCCCCTGCCGCCACCCCCTTCCCCCCGCCCCCTGCGAGTACCGCCTCCCCGCCCCCCCAGCTAGCGCCTCCCCATCCCCTCCCCCGCCCTCCACCACGCCCTCCCCTCCCCCGTCGTCCCCTCCTGCTGCGGGTGTGGCGTGTCCGGCGTCCACTCTTGACGGGTTCGACTATCAAGTGGAGCTCGGCGGTGCACTGTGAGTTGACGAGACTGCCACCCCCCTGCTGCCATTCCCCTGCTGCCGCCCCCCTGATGCCACCCCCCTGCTGCCACCCCCCTGCTGCCACCCCCCTGCTGCCACCCCCCTGCTGCCACCCCCCTGCTGCCACCCCCCTGCTGCCACCCCCCTGCTGCCACCCCCCTGCTGTCATGTGGGTGGGTATGCTTCCCACGCCCGCCCCTCCCCTCCCCCACCCCGTCCCCTTCCTTGCCCTCCTGCTTCGGGTGCGCCGTGCCCTTCGTCAACTCTTTCCGGGTTCGACTATCGAGTCGAGCTCAGTATCCCGCTGTGAGCGATAGAGCTCGAGAAGGGGTGTACCATGTCCCCACCTCCTCTCTTTTCCCCACCTCCTCCCTTTTCCCACCTCCTCCCTTTTCCCCACCTCCTCCCTTTTCCCCACCTCCTCCCTTTTCCCCACCTCCTCCCTTTTCCTCACCTCCTCCTCCTCCCCCCCCTCAGCATGCTCCTGCACTGGATCTTCGCCAGCGCCACATCCATCAAATTCGCAATAGAAGCCCGGGCCACCACTCTAGCCAACCCTTCTGTCCCTTTTCCCCCCTCCCTCCCCCTCCCTCGCCCTCCCTCCCCCTCCCTCCTCCCCCTCCCTCCCCCTTCCCCTCTCTTCCCCCTCAGCATGCTCCTGCACTGGACCTTCGCCAGCAGCACATCCATCAAGTTCGCAATGGAGGCGCGCGCCAGCACTCTATCCAAGGACGGCTGGATGGCTGTTGGATGGTCAGGCAGAAAGGGCAAGATGAAGGGCTCAGATGCAGTCATCGGGAACCTGCCAGGGGTGGCGGCGGTGCATATGAGCGGGTATTCCAAGAAGCTTGTGAAGCAAACGAGTGCGTTCTCTATAGGGACTGCTGAAGTTGCTGCCACCACCGAAGGCGGCACCATGATCACGTAAGTCTGAGCCTACTCCTGTCAAATATTCTTTTTCTTTTGAGCCCAATCAGAAGTTATCCCTGTAATTTACAAAAAGATGTTAACAGTGCTACTTAAGCATTGTTAAAATTGCTGACGCTGTACAGTATCTCTACCCCCCCTGCTCTTTCAAATGTCCCCTTCAACCGTCCCTTCCCACTATCTCATCTGGGCCTTGAGTGCTCTTCTCTCCCGCCTGCCTTGTCCTAACCGCCTCCCTTGTGACTCCCTCCTCTCTCCCATGTCAGAGTCACAAGGGAGGTTGGAAGGGACGGGTGCGGTGCCCATGCCCATCAAGCTGAACGCCACCACCAGAGCAGAATGCCTCATCTAGGCCATCTGTGCTGCTCTGCTCCCCCCTCTGCCTCCCTGACCCTCTCCCCAAATCACCCTCTCCCCAAACCACCCTCTCCCCAAATCACCCTCTCCCCAAATCACCCTCTCCCACTTCTCAGGTTCACAGGGGAGGTGGGGACGGGCGCGGTGCCCATCAAGCTCAACCCCACCAACTACCTCATCTTCGCCTTCAGAACTGCTCTTCTGTCTGACCCCTTCAACCGTCCTTCTGCACTCTGCCCCACCTCAACCTCTCTCAACCCCTCCCAACCCCTCTCAACCCCTCTCCCCATTCTCAGGTTCACACGGGAAGTAGGCACGGGCGCGGTGCCCATCGTCCTGAACGCCACCAACTACCTCATATTCGCCTTCAGCAGCACGGCCTCCAAGACCCTCGCCTTCCATGCCTGGAACCAGTAAGCCCGCCCCGTGTTGTTACCATTGTTACCCTGGTAACCGCGGTAACTGCTGGTGAGAGGTGGTGTGAGTAGCTGCTGCTCAGCTCCTGCCTTCAGCAGCACGGCCTCCTCCAAGACCCTCGCCTTCCATGCCTGGAACCAGTAAGGACCTTGCTACCCTGGTAACCAGCAGGCGCTCTTGTTACTCTGGTAACCAGCAGGCTCCTCGGTTCCTTCCTTTTTCTCCTCCCACCCAGGGGCGGCCTTGCCGTGGAATTCTCGTGCTTCAGGAAGCCCTACTCCCTGTGGGGCGGCGGGCCCGACTACTCATACTACTCTTAGCCAGCCTTTGACTCCCCCTCTCCTCTCCCTTCCCCCCTCCTCCCCCCGTCTTCCATTTTCTCCTCCCGCCCAGGGGCGGTCTTGCTGTGGACTTCTCGTGCTTCAGGAAGCCTTCTTCCCTGTGGGGCGGCGGGCCCGACTACTCAGACGACTCCGACTACGACAGCAGCTTCCGCGCCGCAAGCGTCGAGGACCCATCGGCTGGTGCGGCTTTGAGCACCAGCAGCCACCAAAACAGCTTGCAAAGGCAGAAGCCTTTGGGCCAGCAACACCACAATGCTGCTGTTGCTGCTTCCGGGAATGGTTTGACAAATGCTGGCTGGTGGGCCCGTAAGTCGGCCTTTTGGAAGGCCATTTTTGGAGGGTGATCAACGTGGCCCGTGATAGGATGGCTGGTGGGGTATGTTTTGAGAAATATTTCATCGATGTCTTAACCCAGCGTGGTTTGGCGCGGTGTAACTGTGTTGGAAGGCTGCAACGAATTGAGTGTTTGGGTTTGCATGTACATGCAGGGTTGGGTTTTTATCAGCCGCAGTAGAGAGCTAGGGGAAACCAAGGAGCCAATGAGTGCAGCCTTGGTGGCAAGGTGTACAAGGTTCCATAATTTATTTACCACAGGTAAAATTGGACAAGTTTTGAATTGTATGAGGCACCACGGTATGGGCAGTGTTGAGGCTGCTACAAATGGGGGCTGCAAATTCCGTAGCTGATCCCCCCTGCCTCCACCCAAAACCCTGGGAAACTTTCTGCCGCGGACTGTCCACGAAACTTTTCATACTTTCGTGGACAGGCCCTACTTTCATGGACACCACATCGAAGTTTTGCTTCTCCTGTGGACTCCCGTCAATACTTTCGTGGACTCCCGGCTTACTTCCATGGACACACCCATATTCGCAGTTAAAAAGGAGTATTCAGCAATGTACAAGTGATTACGGGCACAAAAATCGAGACACTCCAGAATATCTGTCCGTCGCAAGTAATCGCGAGCTACAGTGTCGGAAACCAGTTCTGAAACAGAATCTCGGAGCTTTTCTGGGAAGAGTTTGCAGCCGCACTCAAATATGCAGTGAATTTTCAAAAACAGGGTGTATTAGGGTCCGCGTGGTAAAAACACTTATTATTCAACTCAGAGCTACCCAACAAAACATAATATGCACGTGCTTGACGAGCCAGCATCAACCAGCAGTTGTTTTCTCCTTCATAATAAATAATTTCATTATTATTAATTCTGTGAAAAAAAACACCTAAGAAATATATTTTTTAGAATCACTTGTTTTTATTTGCATTAGTATTTTTCTCGTTCAAACATAAAAAACATATTCCTAAAAACGTGAATCTAAAATAGTTGTATCATTTTCTCATCTATTATTATTTTACTATGTACCGAAATTTTAATAATAATACAATCAAGACGTGAAACCTTCCATTTATATAATCATGTTCACCAAACGTTATTGGTATTCTGAGATTTCACATCTTAGTTGAAAATGCAAGCCAAGTACTAGTTGAAATATTTGTAAATGCCAGAATTCATGGTATTCCTGATTCTTGGTAGGCAGAGATTTTTAATGAGCTCTATTAATCTTGTAAGCGTAATATCTATCTTTATTCTACAACGTGATTTTTTTGTAGCGATATTTCACCAGGTCGGTCTGCTACACTTATCGTTCAACTAAAAGCGCTTCGTGACAGTCATTCAAATGAATTTTGAGGATCGCTTCAGAGTTTCTTTAAACACGCGAAACAGCTAGCGGACTTGGTGGCTTGAAAATACTGTAGCTTGCGATTATTTGCGAGGGACTTGATTACGCCTAATTTTGCTTTTTTTCTCCTGTCAGCATCTGTACAGTTCTGTTTGTTTTTTTTGTTTCAAACTCGCGTGTGTCCATGGAAGTAAGCCTGGAGTCCACGAAAGTATTGACGGAGTCCACGGGAGATGTGAAAGTTCGATGTGGTGTCCATGAAAGTAGGGCCTGTCCACGAAAGTATGAAAAGTTTCGTGGACAGTCCGCGGCAGCAATTTTCCCCAAAACCCTCGAGTCGCTTCGTGATCGCTTGTGAATGCCTCGTGAGTGGGGGCATCGCCGCCAAAGCCCCCAACAGCCAATCACTCACGCACAATCGCCTCTGTTGCGCAGGTTTGGTGCTGGACTTCCAGGCTTATTATTGGTCGTCCGCATTTCTTATGCCCCTCTCCTCCTCAAACCATGCCTCCTAATTTGGCCCGTAGCGCCTCGTCGAGGCAAGCCTCAGCCAGCCAGAATTCTGACTTCTGAAATATCTTGCTACACCTGTTCTTCTATTTAGTCCTACTTTTTTTTCACGCGGCTTGAGCCTGTAAGCAGGAAATTGTAAAACATGGGCAAACGGGACTTTGAAGGGAAAATCCCACAGTAAGCAATGACACTTGGTTACAAAATCTCGCTCATGCACTAGATTGGTTGCCTGCGCAACCTTGAAGCTCTGAATCTCGCAATTGTCGAAATACAACTTGGTAGTTCGTTATCATTCAGACTGCAGCCAATCAGGTTCAGTGTCAATGCGAGTCATGCTGAGAAACTGGAAGGTGAGATTGCAATTTGGACTGTTCGAGGTGGGACCATAAATAGAAAAAGGTGTACAAAATGCTAATTTGCGACCCATTTGCCCGTGGCGAAACATGCGAAACTGTGAAGTCATGGGCGTATGGTGGATATCATTTGTACCATCACAGCAGCAGCGCACCCCCATGCAATACATATGACGTCCAATGAACCGCCCATTCGTCAGAGGCCCCCATGCACTCGTCAGTCCGACTGGCACGGATTTACAGGCAATGACCCGTCCTGGACTGGCCCAATTTTGGACGGCTCAACCACTTGCGACACTGCTAGGAGCGAACATGCAGAAGGAACAATTGTAGGTTGACTCGGAACCAGGGTGCGATTGTGCGACAGTTACTGGGGTACACGGGAGAAACAACGAATGTCTTCCGTGTTCCAAGGGTCCTGCCAAACGGGTAACCATGGTCCTACCTTGAGGCCCAATTTGCCAGCGATTTGAAGGCGTCCGTTACTGGAGTAACCGGCCAAAAAAAACTTGGGCCTCTTTCAGACCTCTAGTGTACCACAGCGCCTTATGCTGTTTGGCGTTTTCCTCCCTCAGCTGTCCCGGCCCCAGTTCGAGTCCAGAAATGTAATACCCCCCGAAACCAGGAGCGTGTTCAAAGTAACCGACGTAGAATTGATATCTGACGGCGGGATTCTTTGCCTGGGAAAGAGGGCCGACATCGGCTACTTTGAATGGGCGGTAAGAGGGAACACACCGTAAAAACGAGCCCCGGGAGCAAAGGTCGAAAACGCCGGCGCAGAACACTTGCCGTTGACATTCTACAGTATTGTCAACCGAATCCCCATCTGAAGTTCACTTATGTTTACTGTACCTTTAAAGCGAGGCAGCTTGAACTTCAACGCGGCCGAACATAATCAACGCTGGAAAACGGTTCATAAACATCGCGTTCTCTCTTCGGCTCGACACTCGTGCTGGTAGCAACCGCTGTTGTTTCGAGTGGAGCGCCGTTTGCTGCCTTGTGCTTGTTGCCGTAATTTGTGTCCCGTGCCGTGACTCCCGTCCCGTCCTCTCCTGTCCGACGGGAGTCTGTAGCGCAGTCTTCGCTGCGCAGGAGGTTCTTCCCGCTCCGCCGCGCGGCGCCTTCCACCATGGCCCGTCATTTCCTCGCGGTTCAGCTCGCGCTGCTCGTCACAGTCTCACACTCCTCCGCCGCCGCCGCCGCCGCGTCCGCCCCTCCCACGCCGCCGCCCGCTTCGTTCTTCCCCTTTCCCATTTCCTTCGGATCCATGGGCGGAAAGCCTTTCTTCGCCGGCACGCATACACCGCAGAAGCCGCCGCCAGCGGCGGCGCCGCGTACGGGAAAGCCTTGGAATCGGCGAACGGGAGTTGCGGCGGCGTGCAGCGAGTCGAGTCTGAGCGGCTTCACGTCATCGAAAACGCTCACGCCGGGGTAGGCGTCCAATTCGTGAAACAATCTGCAACGTGCAAATTACACAAGCAAATGGGGTTGGTTGAGGGCGTGTTCAGCGCGTACGTTTACAATTCACTTTATACGGTCCAATATGGTTTTTAGAGTTTCAACGCGGTGAAGTTTGAAAACCGCTCCTGATCGCGATATATGAACCGTGATCCGTGTTCCTGTAAACTTACGCGCTGGACACGCCCTCAGAATGGTTTGGGTTTGGTTCTGAGTTCGGGTTGAGGTTTGGCTGGCGTGCCCAAGGTGATTGGTGCCTCGGAGCTGGTCCGGCAGTACCTCCATTAGTGAGATTGACGATCTGGAGTACAGTAGACAAATTGACGATTCGGAGTTATGGGCAGCGAAATAGCTGCGCCCGTGCTCTCGGCTCGAAACAAGCCGGACGCGATAAGAGCACACTTCTACGATAGGCTCCGGTAAGTGTATTATTTAGGCACAAAAATTTAGTCCTAGAGTTTTGGCGACGTTTCACGCTAACATTCACATTAGAAACTTGCACTTTTACATGTTACGAAGCCTGATTCAATCGAGTATATTTCGCCTGTCTCGCATTCCAGTCCCTTCCCCCGCATCCGGCATTTCGCCCTACATTTTTGCGTCCACATTCCTATGGCGCGAATTTTAGTTACTCTTGATTTTCCCGCACTTGGCTGTGTCCTTCCCGGGCCTTTCCCAACATCCCCCCACCTTCCCCCGCCTTCCCCTTTCCCTTCCCCTCCCCCTTTCCTCCCCCCCTCTCCCCCCCCCTCCCCTCTTTCCCCCCTTCCCCCCGATGCCAGCCTGGTTCTCCACTGGAAGGCCACGTCAGGGACGACCGTAAATATGGCGCTGCAAGCCACGTCAGCCGCCGTTTCGGGCGGGTGGTTCGGCGTCGGCTGGTCGTCGGCCGGCAAGATGTACCCGTCCGACTGCGTCATCGCGAATAGCGAGCTCTACGGGGCTATTAACGCGTACACCATAGGGGACTACTCGCCAACGAGCATCATCCCCTTTGCGTCCTTCTCGCTCGGCTCGTCGCCCGCGTTATCCGGCGGCGTCGCCACGTACGTTCCTCTGTGTACGGTACATGTCCCTTTCCGCACCGTACGTTCTCTCTCCCCCCAGCTCCTGTCGCTCGCCGCATCTCAAGGCGCCTCGAAAAGCGTCGCCGCGGCTGCGTTTGAGAGAGTCACTCATGTCGCTCATGTTGCTCGTACCCTTCTGCGTTCTCTCTTAACCGTTGCCACTTACGTTGTCTCCCTTCCCCCCACTTTCTCCCCCTCCCTTCCCCCCACTTTCTCCCCCTCCCTTCCCCCCACTTTCTCCCCCTCCCTTCCCCCCACTTTCTCCCCCTCCCTTCCCCCCACTTTCTCCCCCTTCCTTCCCCCCATCCCTCGTTCACTGCAGCTTCTCCCGGACGGTGGGCACGGGCGACAAGATATCATTCGTGAGCGGCCCCATGAAGACCATCTGGGCCTACTCCGACGGCCCTTCCACCGCCCTAGACGGCCACGCTGGCCACCGCGGCACCGTCACCATCGACTACTCCTGCGACGCCACTGCCACCCCTTCCCCGCCCCCCCCTCCCCCCACGCCCTCTCCCCCGCCCCCCCGGGTTTCCACCCCCCCCC